AGAACTTAGTTCTCTGGTTATAGTTCCAATAAAAATTTCACGGGACACAAGTCACTCCACTTGCCCTGCTCTGCTCGTGCACAAATACAAGTGAATTTTTAGTTAAAGTGTGATTAGCGATTTATTACTATGAGTAAATCAAATTATAGTGAAATATGGACTTATTTTTCACCACTTTTCGATACTGAACAAGCTAAATGCAAGCTGTGTAATATTCGCAAAACATTCGCACAAATTTTGCGAATGCGAATGCAAATGCGAATATGCAAAAATATGCGAATATTCGCGAATGCGAATGCGAATATTCGTTACATCACTAATATACGTTAAGCTTTGCAGACGATCAAGTAGTGATTGCACAAGACCAAGACGACCTCAGCTACATGATGAAGAAATTACAAGAAGAATATACCAAGGCTAGCCTAGATTTTAACTTCGCGAAAACAGAGTACCTATCTACAAGTGAAGAACACATAGAAGATCTACAGATTGATGACAACGTAACAATCAAAGGAAAGAACAGATTCAAATACTTGGGGTTTATAATCACGAAAAAGGCAACAACAGAGGAAGAAATTACGCAAAGATTAGGACAAAAAAGAACAGCAATCCGACAACTTAACTCAGTATGGTGGGATAGACACCTAAATATGAAGACAAAAACACAGATTTATAAAACATTAGTACGAAGTATTATGACATACGGGGCTGAAAATTGGATAATAAACAAGAAAATCGGCAGTAGTAGCAACAGAGATGGAATGCCTGCGAAGATGCTGCAGAGTAATAAGAATGGATAGGAGAAGTAATGACGAAATAAATCAAATAACATCAATAGAAACAGACATACTAAATATAGAACAAAAAAGACTAAAGTGGTATGGACATGTAAGAAGAACTAGCGACAGCAGATGGATAAAGAGAATAACCGAATGGAGCCCCATAGGAAAGAGGAAAAGAGGACGACCCGAAGATCCTGGAGGAACGAAGTAGACGACGCCATGAGTAAGAGAGGCCTAAACGATGGAGAATGGGACAACAGAGAGAGATGGAAACTGTTGAGCGAGGGAAGGCAGTGAATACTGTAGAATTTCTGAATGGCGGGTTTTTCGATCAAAAGTTGGAGAAAAAAAGACAAAGATGATGGCTAATGGCTACTTCATCTATTTATTGAAAATGTTTCGCTATCCAATTTGATAGCATCATCAGTTCATCTAAAAAGAACAATATGAAAAACCTAACATCCAATGAAAAGTTATTAAGTGTGTTACCTCAAAAAGATATGTAGCAGTCAATGATATTAAAATTGTAAAGAAGCTTACGACAATGGACATTGTAAAATTATGTTGTATAAACAATAAATTGAACTAAATATAGTTAACAATTTTCATAAACTTAGCACAGCAAAAGACATGTGGTAATTGTACAAGTATATAAAAAAATTCATGTAAAAAATTTTATATAAAAAAACACACAATTAATGTGCAGAAGAACTAAGAGATCTAAGATGCACTTCCAACAGTAAATCAATAATTAAGATTTAATTTTGACTTTAGGTAGCATTATTGTAATGATTAATTAAAAATTTTAGTAATTTAAAAGTATAATGAAGTTACCACTCTAAGCTTCTCGACTGCTGCCGTTGAAATGAAGGCAAACAGGTGTTATAACGCCACCAACGTGAAAAGACAGATGCCTTGAGGTCAACGCGTGACAGATCAACAAGGCGTATAAATACCTACTCTAATACAATAGAGCGGTTTATTTGAAAAATATGATAAATTTGGTCGACAACCTGTGTGTATAAACCAAAAAATGAAAGGAAAAGGTGGTCGAGAAACCCATCTTCCCCCCAGTGATCGGTTGAGATAACAAAGAACAAACAAGAGAGGTCAATCAAAAAATCACATATAAATAGTCTACGTTGTGATTGGTTAGCCAGCCACAGGCGAAGGATGATTAAACTTCCAACAGTCCAAGGTTCATAACATTTGGAACTGAAAATTAATAGGGATTCTATGAATGATTTATAGTACTAAAGTTGTATTAAACTATTTGAATTAAAGCAATTAATACAATTATCCAAAAGCAACGTTGACATTAGTCATTGCATGACTAATGCAATAATAATTTTATATGTCCATTGTAGTAAGCTTCTTTACAATTTTAATATCATTGACTGCTACATATCTTTTTGAGGTAACATACTTAATAACTTTTCATTGGATGTTAGGTTTTTCATATTGTTCTTTTTAGATGAACTGATGATGCTATCAAATTGGATAGCGAAACGTTTTCAATAAATAGATGAAGTAGCCATCATCTTTGTCTTTGTTTTCTCCAACTTTTGACCGAAAAAACCCGCCACTCTTCGAGTGATCCTGTATATATATATATATATATATATATATATATATATAATATATATATATATATATATATATATATATTGTTAAGTATGTATTAATTCTAATTTATTGTTTTTTTATTATTTGTCAAAGGTTCTGTATTTCTTACAACTTAATTTAAAGTTTATTTATACGAATTTATCTTACAATAATAACCCTCCAATCTAATTGGCGGCACTCCAACTGTGGCATGGCAAGCTTTTGCACGTCGGACTCTACTACGTGCTCTCTCAATTGAAGTAAGGCTTCCCATATATCTCGGTAGGTAGGTTGGTCACGGGCAGTGTCTTTTGTTACCAGGTAGAAATTGTAACTTGGTGCATCTTATCTGCTTTATCGGTACCTCCATAGGCACCCATTAATTCCTCAAACGTGAGGTCAGACACATCTTGGACTTGATTAACTTCTACTTCTACATCTACGTCGTGGTCACCTTCGAAAGACGCCAGCCGGTAATGGTGTACTATGATCAGCTTTCCCCTCGGAATCTTGTTTATTCGGTAAATGAAACCATTGATCTTCTCCATAATGAGGTATGGACCTTTCCAAAACTGCTGCAATTTGGGAGAACAACCTTTCCGCTTTTTGGGATTGTAGAGCCAGACTTTGTCGTCCTTCTTAAAACATCCCTATTCGGCTTACGTATCGTACCGTTTCTTGTCTGTCCTATTCATCCGTTCTACCCTACCATCCGATTGCGGATAATATGCTGTAGTTCTTGTTTTCTTTATGCATAATCTATCACATATTCCTTGGAATAGATCGCTTTCGAAGTTCCTGCCTGGGTCACTATGGATCTCCAAAGGGACTCCAAATCGGCTGATAAATTCTTGGATCAACTTATCTGCAACGGTAGCGGCCTTCTGGTCTGGAAGTGCGTAAATCTCGACCAACTTAGTGAAGTAATTCATTACTACCAACATGTATTTACCTCCACTTTCCCTTTCTGGAAATGGGCCAGCAATATCCAAAGCTATTCTTTCAAACGGGCTTCCCACATTATATTCTCTCATAGGAGCTCTCCTTTTTCGGTAAGGCCCGTTACTCGTAGCACAAATAGTAAATTTCTTACACCAGTCTTTTACGTCGTCGGAACTGTTCATCCAATAAAACCGTTTCCGAATTCGCTAAACGGTCTTCTTTACACCAAAATGCCCTCCTGATGAACTCTCGTGTAACTGACGAAGTACTTCGGCTATTCTGCTCTTTGGGATCACCAACTGTCTTCTCTTTACTGAACCGTCATCCTGTTCCAGGACTTGTTTGAGTAAGCTATCTTCCATGATAAATGATTTCCACTGGGCCCAATACGTCTTAACTACTAAGCATAGGTTTGATATTTCTTGCCAAGGTGGCCGACAGTTTTCCTCTTTCCATTTTCGAATTTTCTGTACAACTGGATCTTAATTTAGAGATCCAGTTGTACATCCATCCATTAGAGATCCATCTAAACAATTTCTCATCCGCAGTTGTCTTCCAAAGACAACTTTTGCAAGCTATAGGTTTAAGTGATTCAGTTGAAAAGATACGAAGAAGACTCCGTGCCCAAGTACTATATAGCAGTAGACAGTTAACGGCTGTTGAGATATCCAGGCAGCACAAGATTGATCTCAGCATGATCTTTCATGAAGCAATGAAAATTGACAAAATGTGCTTTTTATACGAAACCAGGATTTTTAAACAAGCAGATTCATGTACTGGAGAGGCATTATAATCTGTGAAAAAATGTTTATTTGTTTCTACACCTTTAGTTAGGCTCTGGAGAGTTGCAATGGGAGAAAATTTAATTTTTATGAATAATAATGCACCTCCACATACCAACAGAGTGACTACAGACTTCCTTGAAAAAGAAGACATCACTTTGCTGGAGTGGCCAGCCTGCTCACCCGACCTTAATCCTATGGATTATTTGTGGGATATGCTTAAAAGATGAATTAGAGCTCGCCGAGATAACCCACAAAACACCGATAAGCTAGTACAAGCTGCTCTTAAAGAATGGAACAACCTACCACAACAAAATGTTGACAATTTGTTTAGGAGCATGCCCGCGCGAATTAAAGCTTGCATAAGGTCTGAAGTTGGTAATACTAACTGCTAAAAATAGATAAATAAATAAAAACAGTTACATTATTCGTTTTACATTGAATTGTTTTATGCTGTTGACTTTTATACCAATAGTTTGAATTTGTTATTTTAAGAATTTATCGTATTCTTTAATTTTTATGTATTGGTGATTGAACTTCTTTAAAATAAATATTGGTTGACTTCGAATATTGGATTTTTTTAAATACGCTAGAAAAAATATTTGTGAGCCGTTAAATAATAAACTATGAAAATATTAGTCGCAGTTTCAAATTATGAAAGCATACTACATTATTTTAGACAGTGGAGCACTGAATTATTTTGAGTTAAGATGGCACGCCAATGGACCAGTCAAAATTTGTGCAATAAAAATTATAATTTCCTTTTACTGCTCTCTTATTCATAAAGATAAATAAATATTTTTTTACGGTTTTAAGCCCTATATGTTTTTATGAAAAATTTGATGTATATCTGATTTAAATAGATTAGAAGAAACAAATTTGTAGTTTGTAAAATGAATACGACATTGAGCTAGAATTAGATTTTTATTTGCTGAACAAATTTTAATTAAAACGACTTGCGTTCGTATTCGTATTTAAAATGAATTAGTTCTATTCGTTTTTGATATAGACAATTACTTAGATAAATCATTCTGTCTGGTTATTACTTTGTTGCATTTTAAGACTAATGCCTCATCACAATCTTTATTGTATATAGCTAAGAAACAATAATAACAATTGTTATACATAAAATAGAAGAAAAAATAGTAGTTAGTGAGAATCGAATGCAAAATGGGAAACAAAAAAAATGAGTAAGTTATTTTGGAAAACTATTCTTTTCTACTACCTATTTTTACCTGGCAATCGCAAAAAATCTTGTTATTTATATAGATAACTGCATATACAGATAGAAAACAAATAAATTATTTAGTTCTATATTTAACCAAAAAGCTTGGTAGATCCGTTAAGTGTAGTTATTTATAATTAAATTATCTTTATAGTTTATTTTGCTTTATCTTTTGGCCAGTTATTTCCCTGTTTTGGTCAGTCTCTTTTCCATTAGCACGTTTTTCTTCCTCGTTAGTTTGTTTTATGTTATTTTCTATCTGTATGGTTAGTGTGCTGTTATCTTTGCTTATAATCATTGACTTCCTTATTTGTTATACTTGTTTTACATAAATTTGTTAGTTTAGGGCTTTATTACATACAAGTTCAGCTTATGTTGTAGTTGTTCCCTCGTTTTTACACATCTAACCAGGTCGTCAGTGAATAAAAATTTGTTTCTCCTTAGTATTTCCATTTTTTTAGCCTACTTAAATAAATAATCTTTTTACTTTTAAGTAAGTAATCCCTGGTTAATTTCTCTTCGGTTTAAACTTTATTTCAAATTAATGTTATTGTGTTCTAATGGGAAGAAAAACAATGCAATTTTAGATGTCCCATCTTACCTCCCAACCTTACCTCATGGTTTATTAGTTTTTTAAATTCATCATTACGTAAGTTTGGTGGGCCTGCTATTCTCCGAAAGTTTTTTCTCTATAAAATCCTCAATCTTTTTTCATCTTTCTGTATCAGACACATTACTTCACCACCATATGTGGTTACTGGTCTAATTGCTGCTTTGTAGAATTTCAGTTTAGTATTCTGAGTAAGCTTCTTATTTTTGAGGAAGTTGTTGCATTTCTAGAAAGTTCTGTTTCCTGCCAGAAACTAATTCACTAGTTCCATTAACGAGGAATCCAAGAAAAGTGTTCTACCTTTTCAAACTCATATTTCCCCATATTTAACTTTGTCACAGTAACTGTACTTTTTTTAAGCATATTAGTTATTTTGTTTTATCTTGATTTATTGTCAAACCCCTCTTGAACGCTTCCTTGCACAACTTTGCAAATTCTTCCTTTAAACTGTTTAGGTTTCTACTAATCACTGGTATGTCATCAGCGTACGCCACAAATTTCGACGTTGTGATAATTGTACCTTTGATTTCAGTAGCTATTATAACGTCTTTATAGTTCTAATTTATTGTTCTTAATTTAATTTACTAAAGGTTCAATATTTATAACACTTACAAACTTAATTTATTTAAAGTTTATTTATAATAATTTATCTTACAATAATTTATTATTACGTTCGTTACATTTAAACACCGTTCGCGATTTTCTTTTCTAACTGGTCTCCTCAATGAAAATCCCCCGTTATTTATATGAAACCATTGGGACATCGTCGGAAGTTCGATGGCATTCTCGACGTAGACAGAGCGGCGAATTGGTCTAAAAACTGGTCTTTTTACATCGGCTCGTCTCCAGAAAGTTCGATCGTTGTTTTTATAGCGAAGGGGAACCTATCGTCTGTCAGGTAGGTAATACCTAGAAAAATCGTGAATGAACAGAATATTAGTAATAGATATGTTTACGGTTTTTTAATATCTCATATATTTTTTACGTAACACTATTATTATTCCTTCTATAGCGACGTTAAATAGTGGCGTTGATAGAGAGTCACTCTGTTGTACTCCAGTTGCTATTTCTATATTTTGGAGATGCCGTCATCTATTATTTTTGCTGCCGTCAATCCCTCCATGGTCATTTTTGTAAGATATGAGTTTTATTGGGGTATTCTAGGTCTTCTATTGGGTCGGGTCTTATTAGACTTTCAAATGCTTGCTTAAAATCTATAAAATGGATGTGCTAGTCGATACCATGTTCGTAACACTTCTCAATTGACTGTGTGATTATGTGTATTGCGTCTATCGCTGACCTTCCCTCTCTAAATCCCTGCTGGTATTCTCCTATTTTAGTTTCAATGTATTTTGAAAGTCTTTTGTCTGGTTAACGATGAACGATGTCAATATTTTGTAGCAGCTGTTTAACAATATTATTCATCTATAGTTGTTACACTGGGCGGTGTCTCCTTTCTTTAAAACAGGAAATATCCACCCTTTTTTCCATTATTTAGACATTCTTTTTTCTTCTCAAACCTTATTATTATGTTGTAGATTTTTCGTTGCAGTTCTTCTCCGCCTTGTTTTATTGACTCGTTTGGGATTTCGTCTGGGCTTGCTGCTTTCTTTTTCTTTAGATTTCTTATCACAGGTAAAGAATCGTCATATCACGGATTTTCGATTTTGTTTTTATCATTAAGGTATGTGTCTTCCGTGCATTCGTGAGTGCTTTCTTTAGCCTTAAATAACGTAATGTTTCTCTCATATTTTGACATTTATATATATGTTCGGAAAGATTTCCGCGGTTAGTACAATATATACTAACCGCGGAAATCTTTCCGAACCTTAGCTATAGCTAAGGTATAGGAGCTAACTATTACAAAAATTAATATTAAACTCACCAGTCTTCCGGGTTGAACCGCGTCGATATCCATTGGGCCGAGCTTTCGACATCTTCTCTGTTTTCCTCAGGGCTTCCGAGGTCTCAGTCTCCCGAGCCCCCAGACACCACTATACTTGTCACTGTTCACTTCAGTAGTGACAGCGATGTGTGTGTGTGTGTGCATATTTTATATAATTTATATATATTTTAAATATTAGATAACGAATGTACCAATATTGGGTGGTCCAATAAGCGGATCTCTATATATCATAAACTATTCATGTTATAACTTTAGGAGAAAAAATTCCTTAGTAAAAGTGGTCAAGAGAAATCGCTGGAAATAACTTTCAAGTTTCTGGGTTAACCGCTAGGGGGCGTAACCTGTGAATAAAAATTTGAAAACCAGTTTTTTGTGAAATATGCCCAATTATACCAAGTATTAAATAAGTAAATTAGAAAGAGGCCTAAATTCCGCACAAAGTTGTTCAAGTACTTTTTTTTATTTTTTCAAATAAAGGGTGGGGGAGAGTGGGAAAGTATTTGTGGATAAATACCTATAACTTTGGTTTGGATCAACCGATTTTAACGAAATTAGTGTCATTAGAAAGAGTATGGATAATTTAATTTATATCTACTATAAAACAATTAAATTTAGTTTTAATTGTCATGGATAGAGGGTACTTTTGAATAGAAAAAATTAAAATTTATTTTTCTTCAAAATGTTTAATGGAAACACCTATTTATTGTAAATTATACTGGAACTCGATTAAAGTCGTAACAAAACGGCGCAAACCGTATGTTGATAGCTTTTGTAGAACTCGAGATATGAATAAAAACGCATAAACATAAATAAGTATAGTATTGACTCACCCTTTATTATAACTGAAAATTAAATATGTGAAAGATCATACAAACATCTCGATCATTAAAACTTAATGTCCAATTAAATGTTCAAATTGTTTTTTATCATTGTCCACACAAAGATGTAATCTTTCGCGCGTAGACATAACAGCTGCTTCAATCTCAGCTGTTGATATACTATTTATTGCGTTTATAATGCGCTGTTTCATCTCGACTCGCGTGGTTGGTCAAGTTTGGTACACTAAGTCCTTCAATCTTCCCCACAGATAAAAGTCCAGATATGTTAAGTCTGGAGATTCCCCTTCCAATCCATTTATTTGGATAACTTGCATACAAATAATCTCGAACTCATCTGGAAAAGTGCGCAGGACACCGTCATGTAATATCATATCTCTTCTTGTTTGTAAGGAAATATCTTCCAATAAAACAGGCAACTGATTTTCCAGAAAATCCAAATATTTTTCGCCATTTAAAGTTATATTAAAGAAATATGGACCTACGATCTTTCCATCAACTATACCACACCAAACATTAAGACTTCATCTACCTTGAACCTGCACCTCATGTATCCAATGCAGATTTTCTTTAGCCCAATAATCCATATTATGTAGATTAACACCACCCGCACTATTAAACGTAGCCTTGTCTGTTCACAAAATCTTTGACATGATACGCGATTGTTCTTCTAGCAGACCTAACATCCAATTGCAGTAATCCAGCCTTGCATCAAAATCTCTCTCATGTAAAGCTTGGTGGAGAACTACATGATAAGGATGCAGTCTAAAAAAACAGAACAACAAATATTGGTGAAAAAGAAACCACTATATTTACTAAAACTCAAAAATCTTGAAAAATCTACAATTGTTTCACAAGATAAACCGTGCATAAGTATTTTTAAGAAACGGATAAAAGGATAAAAGCGCCGTGTTGCCGTTTTTATCGGAATATTAAAATAACAGTTGAATCTAAAGTTTAAAGGGAATTCCAAGTTTCTGACCTAAACGTTCACTTTATAATATGAAAAACCAACCTGTGATGTTTTAAAATCCTTAGAACAGTAGTTTTGGGTATGTTTAATTCTATAGAGATTTGCCGACTACTTATATGTGGATTCTGTTGAATTAAAGCAAGAACATTGATTGAATTATCTTCGGTCATACCTCTACTACATCGTTTAAAACAAGGACGATGAAAACTACCAGTTTCTCTTAATCTTCTTACCTTTCTTTCAAATACTTCTTTGCCATAATGTCTCCTATCTGGATATCTTACAGAATATATACGTGAGGCAATAGCGGCATTTTGGTGACATTCGAAATAAACTCCAATCATATCATACAATTCTGCATTTGATATACTTATCACGGATTATTAGTACTCATAATTAATTACTAATATTACCAATATTAATATCTATTGAAAAAAGTGCAATCTTCAATTCGGATTATAATATAACACTCTCGAAAAAACTATTTTTAATCATATAAAATAACAATGGTCAAAATAGGTATCAACATTAAGATTCTTTTGCTATAAAAAAATTAAAGTACCTACTGACTTATTTTTTAATTTAATTTATAATACAGGGTGAGTCAATACTATACTTACTTATGTTTATGCGTTTTTAT